GCGAAAGTTTTCGAACAACCCAATCAATGTACGCGTTTTTACAGTTTCAGTGTCGAAATTTTGTTTCTTAACTGAGTCAGAGATAGAAGTTCCTAACTACGAAATGTACTCAAATAAGTAAACATGGTCTGATTTCTCCTAAAAAAAGTTAGTTTTTTGCTAGTATCCTATGACTTGTTTATCGTTTATTTTTCTGTGGGAAGTCTCTAATCAAATATTATCAGTTTTTTACTTGAAATAAGTCGATCGCATACTATCGAGTTGCATCCAAAATGGAACATGATTATTTCAGATGAGCTTTGGGCTATGTAATAGTATAAACTTGTTAAGGCTCATCTAAAAATTGACGTGTTCTTGGCTCGTTCACACACACATACGGATCCTGATTTTTGGCGATGCATGAAGAACAGCTACGCTAAGCAACATTACAATGAGTGCGCCAAACGTAGGCGATAGACGTAGCAACGTATATTTAGATCAATGTTTAATTCTATACGGGATTACGGGTACGTGTGCTTGTAAGGATGCAACCAAGGTGCTGGAGGCCCAATCTTAAAGTGCTCTAATTCGCACCTGCTACATTGGCTCCGGAAACTGTTACAAACTTCCTCAATTTAGGACTCATCAACCTTCCTGAGTTGCTCCATTTGCGACGACTAATTTGTTCGCCAGATTACCTTGACAGTCTTGCGAGTATAGGAACTATATCTATATTCAACAAGCGTGTTGCGCCACTCGCGTTTTTTAAATATATTCTTATGTATCGTCGAAGTGATAAGGCATGGAATACAAAGGGAACGTTTATAAGAATTCATTTCTGTCAATTGCATCTTTAATATAGCCAAATTACAATTTTTGTCACAATAAAATCCAAAATGAATTTCCTGGAAAATGTGGATATCAATTTTATCCAACATGCGCACAACCTGTTTGAATCGTAACCAAATTGTTAAATTGATTTGCAAATGAAACTAAATGTCGATGTTCGGCACAATTGTCGAAAGCACGATTACCTAAAAAATTTGGGTCCCAGTTGTGACGAAAGGTCCACAATCGTAAGCAAGTTTTCAAAATCGGAATTGAGTCACTATTGTTAATAATCGCCACAATTGTGTAAATTTGGACTAGATTAAGCAGAAAAGAGTCAATATTTATTTTTAAAGAAAAATTAGTCAGAATTTTTAAACTGAACTGATCGCTTGTAACCTCAGGTCAAAAATTTGAAGTCGATTTTTTTTTTTTAAAAAAAAAAATGTGTAACGTTTAAATCAATCTGTAACACTGAGTCTTATTGAGAAATTGAGGTTCAAATTTATTTTCTCTGTTCTATTATGTTGTGACTTGTCATTTCTGTGTGACTGAATACATTTTGAAACACAATTGTCATAAAATATACAAAATTGAATAAAAGAAATCATAAAATAAAATTAAAACGAGTAGAAATTATGAAATTTCAATTTTTTATATTTTTTTAGGATGATTTTACCGCCTTTATCCGCCAGGAGAGTGCGAAATCAAAAACATCGTCAATACAAAAGTTACAATGCACACAGATTCTTGAAATTATTATCGTTTTCTCTTACGGTTGTGTTCGGGATGCGATCGTTAGGGTGTTAGCTCCCCACAAATATCCCATCTCGCCAACGCTGTCATCAGTGATTGGCCCGTTAATCAAAACGTGAACGTGAGTATGAAAATACTGCGGAAGCGGAAAACAATCTAGTAACGTGAGCGATGCGACTGGCAGAAACAATATTACAACAAGCACCGATTGAGGTGCAAGCACAGCTGCCGCGGCATTTGAGACCTCAAGCGTGTGCCTATCTCAATGAGGCAGAGAGAGAAATTGTGAAATAGATCTGGCAATGCTTTTAAAACCCGGAAGTAACGAATGGAATACGCTGCCAGACACGAACCAGATCAAAAAGCTTCACCTAAAATCGACATTTCTGTTGAAGAAAAATTGAAATTCTTATTCTTACAACCATATTCACAATCAGAGGAATTTACTATTTTTACAATGGAGAATTTGCACGCAATTTTTTTATTGCTTCATCTGAAAGTGCCTAATGAGCTGAGTTCGCAATATTTTTCATAATTTTTTTCTGACATGGGAAATTGGAGAAAAATTGATTTAAAAGTGAGAAAATGCGCCGCCTTGTGACGTCATCTGGCGGCATTTCCCATTTAAACACATGTATTTTAGCAGAATCGGTTATTTTGTCATATCTCCTCTAATAATCGCTCAATTTATGAATCAAGGGTATCTTCGTGTTCAGTTCACTCAGAGGATTCCACTTAAACAGGAAATTCATCAAATTTCAGACCCTTGCAAATTCTCCATTGAGGGATTCGTATCCCATTGAATCTCTCTCGCCAGTAGAACACTTTTTTCTGTCTACCTGTCTACCATGTCGATGGTCTGTGCATGTATTGTGATGCTGTCCAAAAATTATTGTCAAGTGCAAGATTTCACGTGGATTCCACTACATACGAAGGAGTTTCAAAAGAAAATCTTATTAAGCACATCAGAGGGCTGATAATTGAAGTTTATAGACGAAGCTATAGCTAAAAAAACAAAGCAGATACGGAGCGATACTATTTGTGGAAGCGGATGGTTGCAGAACTGAGGAAGAAAGTAATATAATAGCGAACGGCAACTTACGAAAGACCCTTTAGTTGGTCCATCATTTCCTCCCTTACTCTATAGCGTCCTCTGTGTCTACTGCTTTGTCTATCAATTAAGTAATCAGTCTGTAGCCAAATCTTTAAATATTATTAGACGTTACCGGATTCTCTTTCATATTTTATTTTTATTTTAACAGAAAATTAAGGAACATGCTGACTTCCAATTTTGCGACTTTTCTTCATAACGTATGAAACATTCGCGGCAAGATTCAAAGCGGTATGTTTTTAAATTGTCTGTGAAAATAAGACATGCTCGGAAGTTGCTTAAAGTATTGACCTGAGAGGTCTTCGTAAGGTGAACTTGATAAGCTTGCCTCCCAATGCGCCTTGAATACAACGGAGAACCGAGCTGTGTTAGGTTCGGTTGGGTTAAGCAACTAAACTAACCTCGCGGTAGTGCATAGGGTATCGCGCAATGTTGAAGGCGCGGTAGACTTGAGTCTCAGTGAGCAATCTTCACTGCGCTCTCTTACCACGCTCGTCTAAAACCAGGCAAATCATACGATGAGTGTTGCTACTAATTAAAAGATGTTATATCATCGAACATAAAAGTTTTTTTCAAGTATAACAAGTTGTTCCCTCATCGAACATAAAACTTTTTTTCAAGTATAACAAGTAGTTTTCCGTTCATAAAATGAACACTGGAAAAAAAAACACATTGGATCTAGAGTCCAGACTCTTGAAAACATTGACAAGAAAAAATAATCTTGTTCAATCGGATTTTTGCTTGAATCAAAACGAAATCCGCTTAAATTAAGGGGCTTGATTCTTGATTCAAGCTAGATTCTGATTGAATCAAGAATACTTTTTCTTGTCGATGTTTTTAAGAATCTGGGCTCTAGATCCAATGTGTTCTTTTTCCTAGTGAAGTATGACAAGGAATTTTACGACGTCGCAAACCGAGTAGTGTGATTGCCGACTTACATCGTCGATATGTTTTGTTAATTTGATGTGTTTTGTAAGTTGTACCTTGATCATGGTGTTTGCCGAAATGCATCGGTATGTTGGATTAATTTAATGAAATTTCGCAATTTCATGCATCCAGGCAAAAAATGTTGTCAAGTCACAAAACATGAAATGTTTTTGTCTAATCATATACCTTTTTTTTTGGGGGGGGGGGGCTATTGTAGTTCTAAACTGGAAAATGGAGTGGAATTGATTCAGGAGCGCGAGCGGAGGTTAGAGTGAGCAGCGGAGGAATGGGAGTGGGCTCGCTGCGACTCCGCCTGGCGGTTCATTTGTTTACCTTTCGAAATGAAAACGGGACTTTTCTCACTGCACGCTCCGGCTCTTCGCTTCGGATCCAATTTGGAGAACCTAAGTGCATCTCGCTATGCGCCACGTTTAGCACGTATTCTTACGTATCTCGAGGTTCATCCCAGGATGCACTTACACTTTTTTTCCGCAACACGGGAGCCCGGGCTCAGCCTCGAGTCGCGCGAGATTAACCGATTAGCGCGCGGAATTTGAAATGGTTGACAGGAAAATGAACCCATTGTTCTCCCATTTTTTCCCCCGTCCGATCCCTCATTTCCGCGACGGGACTTCTTCATCTCCGTCTCCCTCCCCCAAACAACCGCGCAAGTGAGATGGGATTCCGACAGTATTTATGTGGTTTTGTCGGGAATGCTGCGACATTCCGAACTTTTCCTGACCTTTTGTCTCTTGACCTTCTTTCCGCTCGGAACTCGCAGCGGCGTGTCATGTTGTGCTCTGCGATGAATCGATTGATCTCTCATTTAAACCTATAAAAAAGGATCGATTAACAGAGAATACGTTAATAATCGATTATTTACCATGGTTTCAAATGAAGGAATATCGATAGCGGATGATCACGCTTCGTCTTTGAATCTGGCTGTTGGTTGATACGACTGCAAAGAGATTTTATTGAAAGGTTTCTCCAGAGAATGTTCGTGTTATTGTTTTGCTGAGTGATCAGTAAAGCAATGTAACCGGGGATCATGGAATGTTTTATTCTTCTGATTAAAAACGCTGATTTGAGAGCGCAGGGTTCGAGGAATTCCATTTTTGTTTCGAAGATTGAGAATCGCTTAATAGAAGTGAATGAAAACATTCCGTATTTGTAATGCAGGGAGCTGGAAAATGTTACACTTGTGATTTTTTTTTAAAAGTTCTCAAAATAGGCACCCTTCCAATTTTTTTCAAAAATGCTGATAACTTAAAATATAAAACCCAATAATAATTCCGAGCATCAGGAGAGATGCTCCTGGTGTATCTCCACCTGCACTTATTCCGCACCCACATAAAATCGGCAAAAAATGTATTTATATTTGCTTTGATTTCTGTTTCAGGAGCGCATCAAATGGACATGTCGGGACTCGTTGGAGAAACGGTGCGACTGCCCTGTTCGGTGAACACGGAGCGGTGCGGCGACCTGCACAGCATCAAATGGTACCGCGGCTCCTCCAGGGTTTTCGTCTTCAGCGAGATGGCCAACATCGCCAAGGCCGAAGGAGACTACGCTGAAAGGTAAGTTCAAAACTCACAATATAGGCTCAGAAATATCGTCGTTTTGGAGTCGCACAGTGAATCGAGTCAATGAAAAATTTGCAAGCGTCTGAAAGTTGATGAATTCCGTGTTTGAATGGACGCTACCAAGTGAGCTGAACAACGAGGATACCCTTGGTTCATAAATTGAAGACTTATAGGAGGAGATATGACAAAATTATCTAATCCGCTAAAATATGTGTGTTTAAATGGGAAATTCCGCCAGATGACGTCACTAGGCCTTGCATTTTCTCTATGTTGTAGCATACTGCACAATTTGCACTTTCTCATTTTTAAATCTATTTGTATACTATTGTCCATGTCAGAAAACAATTCTAAAAAAATACTGTGAAATCAGCTCTTGAAGCTTTTTCAGATGAAGCAATAAACAATTTGCATGCAAATTCTCCATTAGAAAGGTTGGACATGAAATTATTGACTAAAACTGCTCATTTTGACGTTTATTTCGTCACAATTTAAATTTCAAGGCCTGCTTCAAAAAGAAAATTTCACGAGAAATCCAATGGAACCACGTTTAGAATCTCAAAGTTTTTGTAAACAGAGTTATGAGCTTTTAAAGTTTCCAAATTTTGTTCGACCTCTCCCATTGACTCGATCCATTGTGCGTCGGTTAGGTTAGGTCTTATCGTGTACCAGCGGAATACAGAGTATCAATCCGGTACTGCCGTGGTGAGTAAAAACTCCACATGAGCATTCGAATGTTGCGAATTTTCTCTCAGGAAATCGTTACTTTTACAAGAAGTTATGAATATTTTTCTTTGAAATTTCTAGACTTTTTCGATCAAATTACGAGCGAAACCCTCCGAAAAGTCGGAAGAAAAATAGCAACACCTTTTTTAGAAATTCGTGATTTGTCGAAGGAAATTTCGCAATGCCTGATGGTTAATACGGCGTTCCTCCATAACATGAGATGTAGGAAGAACACAGGATCGACATTTCGAGGGGGCCTAATGAAGTGGAGCGGCGGGAGCAAAGAGAAGTTTACATAATTCACTTCTCATCTCCTTGAATCGTGATTAATTCTTTCCGAGCATAGGTTAAGTCCCCCGCAAAGCATAATAGAATCCCGAGCAATTTCCGGCCTTTACCCGTCGAACAAGGGACTTTTTCCGCGCTAATGAGGTTCCTCCCAACGACAGCAGAGCGCGCGCCGAAGAAACTTTCCCACGCGCGGCGCGGGGGTGGGGCTTTGATGTGGGGCGCAATGACGCGTCTAATCGCGCGATGAGACGCTCTTTCGCGTTTGAAACATCTCCGAGGTTTCAGCATGTCATCAAGCCGCGGTTTCGCGGTAGAGAAAGTTTTCCTCGCTTTTCTGACGTAACGGCGTATCTGCATTTCCGAATGAGCCCCAGAAAGCATGGATTCCAGTGGCGTGGCGTGCTTTGCGATGCATCGATTGTTATGCCATTTAAACCTATGGAAAAGGATCGATAAACAGGGTGTTCGCAGCGAACGCCTTACTACTCAATTCTTTACCATAGATCTAAATGACGTAACAATCGATAAATCGCAATTCACGCCACGCCACTGATGCATTCATACGGAAGGCGAGGCTGACTAGGAAATTGAGATACGCCCTTACGTCAAGGAGGCGACGAGTTCTTGGAGTTGAGGAGAAGCGATCAACTTCGGTCTCAAATTCGATTTGCGCCAACTATTCTGCCGTGCCAAGGAAAAACGCCGTATGAGCCTCCTGGCGTTACCAAATTTCCTTTGATAAAACACGAATTTTCTCCAACAATTTTGAATATTATTTATTCAAATTTTTCAGATAATTTTGTTTGCAATTTCACCTAAAGTCCCTGAAAATTTCAAGGAAAAATATTCATAACTTTCTTCCAAAACAAACATTTAATTGAAGGAAATTTGGGTAGTCTCGAATGTTCATACCGCGTTTTTCCATATCACGGTAGTATTGATGCAGTTTTCTCGACCATTTGTTAAAGCATGTGAAGTTTGAACGGTTTGAAGCTTTCTTAGAAAGGCTATGGCGTCAATTTTGGATAAAAATATTTCTGATTTTGACTGCTAAATGTTCTGCCTCTAAGCCGTATGTTTTTCGATGGCAAGCTGTGATTCCGGATCGTAATAATTAATACCTCGTCACTCCGACCATTGCAAGTATTACTTTTCAACAATGTGGACCGCATTTTTCCTTAGGAAGTACAAATTCTGGTTTATTTTAGAAACAATGTATGCGCTTTTGGTTCCCCTATGCAGATAGGTGCTTCTATGGATGAGCTAGAAATTTTAGTTCCTTCTTGCAAAATGCAGTCCATTTAATAGTAAACTGAACTTTAAATTTCACTAGAATAAAGAGTTAATAAAACGGAAAATACAAAAGCTTGAATAAAACAAACAAAAAACTCAAAAAGAAACAAAATTAACTGAACCAGAAACATATAAAACCCACAGTTTCCTAAGAGAACTATTAATAAATGTCCTGAGATTATATTAGACATTTACCGATTTCAATGTCGCTGGTAATGTCGCTTCTCGGAGCTTTGCAGGGTCACTAAGAAAATCAGCCGTGTTCTTGTGTTACCCATGATTGGTATAGGAAAAGAACGAAATTTTGTGCTAATTTTAGTACATTATGCGTTGAAATTAGCCCAGAAAACATTTTGTATAAGCCAAGGAACCCCAAAATCAACCAAAGGTTGGATTACTTCGTGTTTTACTTCCAACATTAGCCGAACTTTGGTGTTACATATATTTTTTCTCTCACTGATCCTGCGGGTCGATTTTCGAGTAATATTAATGGAGAAATCCTCATCTTGACCGTGATTTGAATCGATCAATCGATGAAGATTCAACAATGGACCCTTTGGCAGGCTGGCAACGCGGAAATGGACTTTGAAGTGAGCTGGCGGCCGACAAAAGCCGACTTACACCGCTCATTCATAGCCGGTAATCACAATCGCGAGCTACCACTTCCGGCGCCGCGACCGCGGTAAAGAAAACATAAAGTTGTAAAGTTGTGCTTTTAATTGAGCCGGGCCCTTTGACTTATCGCGAAAGTTCAATCTCGCATAACGACCGTCGATTTGTTCGGATCAAACTTTCATGCGCTCTTTTCTCTCGCTCGCGCCCTTTGTCCCGCCGGAAACGAGCGCTTCCATGCATCCGGTTTCCGGGAGCGGCGTTGCCTTTCCGCACCGAATGTCCACGATTTATTCGCGGGAAAACCCTTTAAGAATTGCATAGATTTTGGAAGTACATTGATTTATTTTCGGATTTTCAAATCCTTGCACATCCTTAATTATTGGAGAATTGCCCTCATAGGACTTTCAAGTGTATCGCATTTAGCAAAAAGGAACCAGCGCGATTACAGTGTTTTCAAAATCGTGCAACTTCATTTTTTCTGTCAAAAATACTTAATATACATGTGTGCAGTATTCAAAACACAATTGTTTTCTTTAAAAACTAACAGATTTTGGGTGGGAAAAAAAACTATTTGCTATTTTGGAGGATGTTCTACACAGTTATGAATAAGCAACATTTTTACAACACTGTCATCAAGCTGGTTCCTTTTTGCCAAGTATGATCCAAGTATATTAGTTACGTTAGCCACTTGGAGCGGGGAAGGAGGTAAAAAACATGCAATTTATATTTTTTTGCTAGGAATTGGTCATGAAATGGAGTACATTTTGCAGATAGGAACTGCAATTTCTAACCCATCCGTAAAATTACTCATGTGTGTAGGGAAACAAATGGTACGTACGTCGTTTCTAAACTCAGCTAGATATTGTAGTTCCAAATTTCAAAATGCAGTCCAGATAATGTCAGCTAAGCAATTTTTTTGAACATTCTCTACCAGGTATCATAAATTGATAAACTTGGGCTAAACGGAAAGTTTAAACACCGTATATAAAAAACTCGTGTCGCTAAGTCTTATTCAAAACAATTAAATTTTGACCGCGGTACAGCACTGGCCGTGCCATTCAAAATTCTGAAAAAGAACCGAAGCAGTGTCTCTCTTGCATTCAAAATTCTTTATAAATTAAAAATTTAAAAAAAAACCCAACAACAACAACTGGTACAGAAGCTGAGCCCTGAAATTGTCTAATTTTTAAAATATGGCAACACTGAGATTCAACGACCACATTCAACTAGAATGACCTAAATGCCGTCGATTCCTGACGGAGATAGAGCCTTTATGGCCGAGTGCATCCGATGTGCAATCGATTCCTCTCATTTCCATTGGCGCGCCGCAGTTTCCTACCTGCCGTCCTGAAGCGAAAAAAACTGGGCGAAAAGTAATTAAAACCACCGATTGAACTACACGAGAAAAGCTCACACTGCGTTTCGGTTCGGAAGAAGGGGGGGGAGCTCTGCTGCACCAAGGAAATACGGCGTATGAGCTCTTGAAAGTTGTCAAATTTCCCCCAACAAAATATGTATTTATTTGCTTGATCAGTTGTCTCTGAAATTTGCAGACACCATGGAACCCTAGTTCGACTGACGTGGGTCTCGGGACTCCTAACTTATGTTTGACGAAGATCCAATAGAAATTGATAGAAGAAGATAAAGAGCGTAAAAAAGGAGAAGGAGAAAAGGAGGATGAATAACAAACAGAAAAAAAGAAACGATAAAGGAGGTGATAAGGTTGCCTTCTTTTCTTTGAATTTTTTTTTTTATGGCTTAGAATGATTCTGTAGGCTCATGTGCGAAAGCTGTATCTTCCTCTTTTCGGCTAAAAATTCCAAATCTGCCGAGATTATCTGACTTAATTGATGCAATACGTCGCACGCCAGTAGTAGCCATAAGTGGACCGCGTTAAGCAGAAAGGAACCAAGCCGTGTCAGCTATTGCCAAATTTAACCGGGCAATTTCATTTTGTGGATGAAAACGGTCGTACGGATTTGTATACAAACTTCAGTGAATATTTGGCATAGTACAAAGCAATTTCCCTAAAGTGTTCAAAGGAATCCGCACAAACGTTCTGTTGTGAAAAA